CGTCATTCATTTAAAAAATGCCATTGTTCGTTTGGCATCTGGGTGGGGGGGGGGGACTTTACAACCGAAAACATCCGCAAAACATTCGCGTCGCTGATTTTCAGACGAAGACCCAGAAGACCACAAAACACATAGACATGAAAGTTTTCTCAAGCAGGGCTAAATCATCGAACGAATCGATGTTAACTTTCCTAAAGTCAACAACTCGTTGACGTAACGGTCCTTATGCTGGCAACAAGCGATCCGACGATGCTATACGGTTTCTTGTTCTAGCGACAATCCACAACGTTGTCGTCTGACCTTGCAGTACTCAGTACATATCAACTCCTCTTATTTAGCCATAGAAACTAATTATACTTCGAAGATTTTCCACCCCACCTCGAAGTTAAGCGCTGATTGTGGACTGTACCTGTACTTGACAACGGTTGATGCTGCATACGTGCGTTTCAGCTTTTTGCTGTTATCCACTTAATTCTTGCCAATTTCAAAGCGGTATCACTACGTCGTTCATAGCAAACGGGCTAGCTCAAACGCTTCTGCAGTTAGGTGGCAGACGGATTAAAAAACAGCTGTCAAACGGGGGGACATGAAACGAGCTTCAGTAGTAGCGAAGCGCTACAAGCTGCCTAAAGCCATAGCGGAAGGTCGCAGACGAAGCTCGTGCCAGAGGAATGAGGAAAATGTAGACAAACGCGTCACGGTCGGCTAAAACTTACTACCGTACATAACATACAATTGCATGGACTGCTTTGCCCGGCACATTAATACTGAAAGCGTACTTCTGCGCCAAGGGCAATGATGTCACGCAACCGTCATATTAACTATGAAGATGTCTGACGAATGCACATAGGACTTTAGAGAGAGAACACTTTCCTATAGCGCGCCCCAATATTTCACCTCACTTATCTTTCCCTTACAAAAGAACTACTCATACGTAACTCTTAAGTCATCGTTCAGCTAGCGACAAACACCGAATACAAGGCGGTGTTTAGAAACCGTATATTCTCACGCAATTTACATGAGTTTCTGAAATAAATTCAACAACTACCGAAGTGATGTTCTAGGAAATTTATATTCATTCATTACCAGTGTATTCAACGAACAAGTCTTCTAAAAAATGCTCTGCAAGTACGAAGAGGCTAACGAAAAGAGATTCATCATTTTCCTGTCAGTTCTGCGGATTAACATGCTGCATTGGCACCATCCCTTTGCTTTTTCAAATAGATTAGAGACCGCTTAAATAGGTTGGCATTCGAACATGTGCTTACTCCACCTAAAATATGGTGCCGCTTTTCACCCATACACTAAATGCACCACGCATAATGAAGCCAGAACCTGTTTAAACTTTCTTAAGCTGTTAATAGCAGAGAGGCTATGTGGCTATGCGGAACTGACAGGAAAGTTATTATTCTTACCGGTAAAATTATGATTATTATTCTTAAACTAGCAATTTGTTAAAAAAGAAAACATCATTTAGAGTTTATTTTTGATCAGTATTCATTATTGCCAGCAATGTTTTGTTCTTTATCTCTTTCATAATTCCCTCAGCAGGCATTCACGGTAGGAGTGAAACTGGAAGACTTTCTACTACTGTTAGTCAACTGTTTTGTCACGGACAATTTGTGGTCGTTCATCACAACACGGAGGGCTGCTTTTCTTAGTCTTCCCTTCCTGCTCCGTGTTTTACCCTGCTGCGATGAATGTATCGGTCACAATTTAGTGTCTGTTTACGCCCAGCGCTTCTGTAATGACGTACAACAGTACAGGCGTCATTACCGTTTTATAGACGCTTCCTTCTGAGCATGGTCGGCATCTGATTGTCACATTGTTAATTTCATCAGCCAAACGTTTTCAGAGTCAGTTCTTTGTCTACTGTCGATGTCGACTTCCTTGTTCCTATTTAAGACTGAATCAAAGGTACCTCATAGCTGGGTTCTTAAGCAAGGTCCATGATCATTTACCAATTCTGCTTTCATTGGTGAAACAGCCTGACATGTACATTCCTCTTGTGTAGATGAAATGAAGATGGTTCTCGAAAATTCGCCTTTTCTTTTAACCCTCCCCCATGCTTTTGCTGAACCCTATGGCAATGCCAGCATAGAGTATGCAATACAAGGCTACTGCCAGTAGGCCTTTTCTCTGCGGGTCTGTCACCGTTCAAAACAGAATTAAGCCTCGTGCCTACCCATACGTCCGTTTTTCATCATTGAAGACGAATCGAACGTGGTCCTTAATGCTGGAGATTATGAGCATTATGAATTATTATGCGGCATCATTCGGGATCATTAACGTTCGTCTATTTCGTGCGATTAGTCACTTCACAACTCCGTATCTATCTGCTGCCACTTCACCGAATTTGTACTCCATAATCTCATCATAGTCTTGCTTACAGTAGATTAGGGAGCCGTTTAAGCATGCCACGGTTCCGCCATATTCTTGTGTTAGTCTAGCAGGTGATATAGAAAACTAGCAGTAGGCTAGCAAGCTCATAACATTTAATTTCAATAAGGCATATATACGGATTGAGGTCGCATCCGTTGGTATTCGAACCTACTTCTGTTCGACCCTACAAGAAATAGTTTTGCGCTCATTGCCCACAAGTGCTAAAATACCATAGAGCAGCGGTCATTTGGTCCCCTAAGCTATCATAAGTGGTAGTAGATAAATATGGAAGCCTATGGTCACAAACTGCACTGGACAGACGAGCGTGGGCATCGGGACTAAGCAGCGGTGATCCCTGATAATTACGCAAAAGAAAGAGTCAACAAAACAATATCGCAATTTTTAATTATTTAATGACATTGTTAGTTTTCCATGCACCGCCAGATGAACGCCTATTCAAGACTGTTATATACTTCTGTTTTCTGCCAGTCTTATCCGTCGTTAATAAAATGAATATCTTCGGCTGATGCTGCCATCGATCTGAAGGTCTTTCTACGGGCCGCTTACTCTCTCTCCCTCTTGAAGACTCGTCTAATATCTCTGATCTCCAGCGATAATCGGTTCTTCTAACAACGTGCCCTGTCCAATACCACTTGTAGCTTCTTCATCCTGGCATTGACAATGTACACTCTGATTTGTGCTCATATTCACTCATTAGTGTTAGTGTCACTCATTAGTGTTAGTGTCACTTTTCTTTTCTTACAATTACCAAAATACTTCTTTCCATTCTGCCATGCGCAGACAGTCTGAAGCTTTTGAATAGCTTTCAGGCTCAGGGCCCTTATTTCGAATCCGATTGACGCTCAACACCGTTAATAGATTGTAAATTGTTACCGTTTATAAAACATTTGTGAATTTTTAATATAAACCGAGCGAGGGTTTCGTTGGCCAAAAACTGCCTCGCGGAGACACAACGATTACTGTGTTGTACAACTATTCGGTACTACTGGCAAACGGTGTTACGGTTTAACCGAAGCGTCAGAAGTTTGAACACTTCAGATGTGAAGAAAAACATTACGGCAAAGGTAACTCGGTAAACGTCGTGAAAAAGTAGGTCCACGAAAGATGGATGATTGACTGACACAGCGTCGATGTGTCACTTTCCGACGTGGGAAGGGGAGGACAAAACGACAAAAGACGATCCCCTGAGCTCGAGATGAGGGAGAGCATGAGTCGTAACGGCTGCTGGATGACGTTATGATGAGGTCGGATGAACGAACGTATGATGAATTGTCGTGAAGAGTCGAGAGCTCGGTTCGGTTCGTCGTTATTCCGTACGAGAAGTGGCCGTAAACACTCGACGGGGAAAGGAAAAACTCGACTCGCACAGACGACGAGACACAAAACGAGACGCAGACAGGGAGACAACGTTCACCGCTTAACCACTTACCTTTGTTTGAGGGCGGCTAACTCATCGGGCTGTTCCTCGAGAGACACCTCCAAATCCAAATAGTTGCCAAAGTCGACGGCGGAGGTAGCGGATCCAGATGTCGTACGACATAGCTGCAGAGCGACGTCTTCTACCTGAAACGTCATTGTCACGTTAGAATTAACGCATGACATTTGAATTAGCATATATGACTGTGGTTGTGCGATGTCCCGTGTCATTAGGGACGATCGAGTACAGCAAAAAGTCATGCGAGAGGACGCAAAACAAGGATAAACGAC